TGATCAGTTCTGGCTTCCTTTCCTCCATGTGGGCAGATTATAATGGCAGAGTGGAATGAAAGCCATTATCTAAATTAGTCTTTATTGTAAGCCCACTAACTAGCATCATTTCCAATGAATTCAACCGCGATGAGATGAAACTACAGCTCATTTTTCTGGGTGACTCCTGGAACCCTACAGTAAAGACCACTGTGATCACTGCCCCGCAGGTTAGAAAATCTCTCCACGAAATTGCACTAAACCACAGAAAGGGATTGAACAATCTGTTATTGGTCTGTCATTCCCATTTACCAAACTACACTACACATGTCCACATGGATGACTAATGGACCTGTGTGTTTATTCTTGGCTAGTGGATTTGTTGTTAAATGTTGTTTCAGAGGGGCTAAAAAATCACTGTCTGTTCCCAGTTGATGCTCTAGGGATAAAACATCTGTCTCAGTGAGTCATTCAGTCTCACATACTCATATTTTCCTAAAATAAGAGAGGTCCGATCAATGGAGTGACTATGATGTGATAATTTCACTTGTCAGTACACTTTCACTTGTTTCAGCCACTTTTTAGAAATTGTCAGACTCAAACTTTAATATCATTAAGAGTCTGATCAATTTCTCAGCTGTTAACTTGGTCAGTACAGGGTTATTTTTACTTCACAGTACCATGAACAAAAGACCCACATTGTAATTAATCAGAATCATCCTTTGATCCCTAATTTATACTCAGCGTGTTTTAGATGTATTTTTATGTACGTTTTTATTGTGCATCTCATGCTGCAGATAGAATTTGATTCTATCAATTCACAGATGTGCATCTCCCCTGGAGCCCCATGTTTTTTTTACACTCCAGGTCTGTTTTTCTTTTATTATTATTTTTTTTTTATCTCTGACAAGTTTTGTTCACATTAATTCACACAAATCTTTATTTATTCTGTCTTGCAAACTCTTTTCTGGTATCTCTTTGACCGATAGGCTCCTGATGGAACTCACTTTCACTCACTGCTTCACTACCCTTTGCAGATATGTATTGTCAGGATATTGTGTGAGTAAGCAGTGTGTGTGTAAATACGTGAGTGGGAAATGCCCGGGGAAGTCTACTCGGACATTACCCTGCCTGCCCCTTAGTACTGTACAATGTCTGAACATAGCACGGGTGAGTGAACATGAGAACAGGGTCAGAAAATTGATTATTTCCAATTATGTGCCACATGATGACATGCAAATGTGTTTTCCACTGCTCCTTATTAAGTGAAGCAGACTATTTCCCCATTTAGTCTCGCGGGCCTTCACGGTACTATCACTACATTGCTGCTGTGTCTTTGCAGGGCTTAGATGCACACACACGAGAGGGCACACCAGAACAGAGATGGAGGGTGTTGTGTCTTGGTTATATTCACACAAAGTCCTTCTTGCAGGGTTGTGTGGAATCATGTTTGTGTTTATTTGTGCTTCAGAATGTAACCACTACACAACAATCAGAAACCATACCCCACCATACTCCAACAGCAGCCAGTCACATTTGTCAAACTAGACAACCAGTCTTGATTTGACTGTAAACTTGTCAGTCTTAATTTACTGGCAGTCTTAACTTGGAACTTATTGGTCTTGCTTGATTTTTGACATTGCTATAATTTGTCTTAAACATTTCTATGTGATTGTTGCTTTTTTTTTGGAACCAAAAACTGTCTTTCTAAGGGATCAGTTGTCCACCAGGTTTTACAAAACTACCTCCATCACCTGCCATGTGTTGCCCCTGGTGTTTTGGCGCTGTCTTTGGAGACATGTCCTGTCACCTGATTCTGTCACTTGTTTGGACTTCACGGTCCAATTAGACACTTTTATAGATTTGTTTAGATTCATGGTGTGTATGACACATGCAGCGCTAAACCTCTCGTTGGTTCGTTGGCATCTGGGTTTTTTAACCTGGTGTGAGCTCATTAGCGGTCTGCCTTCACCTCAGCCGTCTTATAGTTGTTATAATAAAAACACAGGCATGTATTTTTGGTGAAACCCTTCTGTCAGTTTCAAGCAATTGACCTTGGTGTGGTGTGACAAACAGGAGCTTTACTTAATGACTCACCTCCCTTTGTTTGTGCACCTTGATCCGAGAGCGACCGACTGTAAAACACAAATTGAAAACAAACGGCAGATCAGTCTGACAGAGTGCTTCTGTTTGTAAGTCTGAGATTAGAGAATGGCTTTGTCTTTGGTGAATTTTCTCTCTTTCTCTGCAAATATGATAGTTTGTTTAATCTGAAACATAATGTGGTTTTCAATAGGGAGCCTTCACCCTACACTAAGCAGCTATGAATGAATGTGTTTCCTCTTTGTGCTTTTTTACAGGATTTCCCACTCTGACAAAGAGTCTAATTAAACAAAATGATACCAGCATGTCTAATTAGCAGCCTCAATCCAAAAACATTTACTGGTTAATGCATGGTCTGATGTTCATATTCACATTTAGTCTCTTTGATAGACAGCTGCATTTGTATCTTTACTAAAATAAGTACTGTTCTTTATTCCCTTAATTTGACTTATGTTCAAATTTAGCATTTTTTATTATTAAATTGTGTCATTTAAATCAAAACATCATTAAACTATTTGGCAAAGTTCAAGACTCCATGTTATTGTCATTGCACAATACACGGTTGCACAATAAAATGCAGACAGGAACTAATGAGGCAAAAATATATTCATCTTCTGCTCACATCATCCTCATCATCCAGTCTTACTCTGTTTTCTCTGTTTTTGGTGCTAGTAAATTAGATGTCTTTGGGTTTCAGATTAGTATTTGTACAAGACATCTGAAGACATTAGCTTGGGTTTTAGGAAAGTCTGATGAACATTATTCACCATTCTCTGACATTTTACAGACCAACCAATCAATCAAAAAAATAATGGGCAGACTAATGATTCATAACTGAAAAGGACATCACTGTGGGCACTCTGTTATAATGTGAGAGACTCTATTCATGACAATGGTTTTCTGAGCCATTGTTCTTGTTTGAGGTGAAATGTGGACAGAAGGCTTTAGTCCACTGTGGTCATTGTCAGACAGGCTTTTAGGTATTTGAACAGAGACTCGTGCTGTCATTATCCAGTCTCTTGCTGAGAGTGAGTGAGTGAGCAGGTTTCGGACTTCCTGTGAGGTCAGCTGTCAGTTAAACCAGAGTCCCAGAGCTTAACACTTCACTCTTCCACATCAAACACTGCCATAATACATGAGGATGGAGCTCGCAGTCTGATGGGTTAACCGTGCACTGGCTGCCCATCAGCTGCTCACCTGGGACATGAACCTGCAGCTTGATGACATTTCCTCCAGTGGGGGAATATGTTTAATGAAGTGTGGATTGGAATGGATATCCAGGGCTGGACTGATGGTTTGTTTGGCTTCAGCCAGAGAGGCTGACTTTGTAAATGTTGCTGAGCTGAAATCTTATTCAGCACAGGGTTCATCTACAAAGTGCCTCTCCCACCAATTGGTAGTGGGAGGGAGAGAAATCCGGCCAAGCTGTGCTGACTCCCACTAAAAGCCATCGATCTGTTTACTTTCTGACCTTTTTCTTTTTTAGGTAGTTTTCAGCTCTTTGGAGCCAAATAATAACTGAATCTGTAGGAAGCACTTTGTAAAAATGACAATTTTAGATAGAATTCTCTGAAGTTCTAACTGATGAAAAATAAAAAAATTTGGTCTCTTTTTAAGGCAAATAAAAAGGTGAAAGTGTGAGGGAGGATGAGTGGACCAAAGTGAGACATGCAGGTGGTAAAGTGAGAGCTCAGGCAGCTTGCCTGTAATGAGGGTTGGTGGGTTGATGGACTGAGCTGGTGAGTCCAGTAGAGAGAGGGAACCTAGATTCAGGATGAGGAAGAAAGTGGGCAAGACAAAGATGAAGAATTAAACCATTGATCTGATCGCCCTCTGCTGTGTGACAAACACCCGATCTGGACCCTGCGGTGAGAGGAGTTGTAATGAACACTACGAATGGTGGGGTATTTCTGACCTTCTCTTCTCATGTTTTCACTCACATAATTTCTTCTATGCGGGAAATTCCGGCTCATCGGGAGAAAATGGAATTATACAGAATCATCTACAACAAATGATAGATTCCAGATGAAGCTAAAAGCAGACAGAATAACTTCAATATCCAGTGATCGCTGCCAATTTCAGTCATGCTGTAAGCTCCACCTGTGCACTCAGAGTTGTTACTGCTAACACAGAACTTGTCTGTACTTCTAAACTTTTATTTTTACCAGTCTGCAGAACTGATGCTGTTTTGTCTTCTCAATGGCTATAGGGCTTTACCCGACTAAGAATTTTGTCAGTCAACTCAGATTTATTTATTTGTTCTTTATATATAAAAATTAGTAGGCTGTTGCTTGGTAGGTTGAGCAGCACAGCCTTAGTGGTAACGGTACCTTGACATGGAGTCAGCTGGTTTGTTAGGATGCTGGTGGCTGTTGATAATGTGGTGGAATTAACTGCACTCTCACGCTTGCACAAAATTCAGTTTAAGTTTTGTGTTAAGGTAACAACGAGCTGTTAATTTTTGTATGTGGCATGTTGCAAATACGTATGTTGATGTTAAACTTATCAATAAGACATTCAGAGACAATGTATTTGTTTTTCTGCTAGAATATCTGATCTTGCAGTACAATATCCACTTGTACAGCCTGGTTAGGTTTTGTACTCACAGCACTTAGTTAACATTAGAAACAAGCTCACATTGGTTTAATATGGAAAAAGTCCGAGTGACTTGAAATATGACATGTATTCAGTGTAGTAACTCTGAACCAAAGTGTCAAAGTCCTGAACTTTGTTACCCACTGATCGACCCTGATGATCTCTCGGTGCAGAATGATTGATTAATGATTCTTACTAATCAGACTAAATTAAACTGATTATATTAATCCAGCCTAAGGGATTGACCAGCTTGTCCTGATCAAATGAATCCAACCAAACTAATCTGATTAAACTAATATGATGTAATTGAATCTTGTTCACAGTGGGAAAACCAGCAGCTTCACAGCCTGGAGGAGAGAGGTCGTCTTCTTCTCTCCCTGCAGTTTCTGCCTCCGGTCAGTTCGGAAGATAAAGACATAGAGGGAGGTGATGGCCGTCGCAGCGGGGGTCTTTGTGTAGGAGTAAAACGCTGCGCTCACCTGGCAGCCATGGACGTCAATGGATTCTCCGACCCTTACGTTAAAATGTAAGAACTCTTGACACGTAAAAACTCCCTGCAGGTTTTGACATCTCACAGCATGATTCAGCCCCACAGCAGCTACACTAGGCTTTGAATTACTTTGAGGCAACACAGAGGAGAGTTAAAGGAGACACAGTAAGCCTGTCTCAGTCTGAATCTTATCTTCTGTGTACTTGTGTTCTCATGGACTACAAATCATAATGAGCCAGGAAGACTCCAAAAGCCCCAAAGTGCTCTTGCTTCATGTGTTTTATTGAAGACATAAAGGGATCTCACAGTGTGTGGATAATTGTGGAAGAATTATTCAGAGCCATTAACTAAGTAAAAGTGCTAATTACACAGAAAAAAGTCAAATAAAAATTATATGAACATTTTGCTTAGTGTGTAAGTTTAATTAGGAAAATTTACTTAGTGTCAAAAACTGAAATTACTCATAATGCTGAAAAATTGACCCTGTGATTGTTTTAGTATCATATATTCAATTTTATTATGTATGCATTAATGTGTGAGTGGCATTTTACTGCGCAACGTGGAGCCATCAGCTGATTGTTTGGTTTGTAAGAAGTAGAAATAGTGAGAGAGTCCGATGTGGCATCTTGACAACATTTGTCTAGTTTAAACAACTGTTCAGAATTATGTAAAAATAAATTAAAATGATTGAAAAAGAAAATAAGCAAATAATCAAGCCTGAGAATTTGTAGCCATGAAATATTTGGTATCTTTGCATAAAAAATTACCTTAAATGTTTAATAAATGATTATGAAAATAGTTTTGAGTTAATTTTCTGTTAGTTGACGAATAGACTAACTGACTAATCATTGTAACTCCACTTGTGTATACCTTTGCTGGTTTAGTATATAGCAATATATCATGTTTTATATGTTCCTCATATATTTTGCAACACACGAAGGAAATAGAGGAACTACTCACAACTGAAAAAAATAAATAAAAATTGTGTATTGCTAGAATCTGGTATGTGAACTGTAATATATTGTGATGTGAGAATGTTCTCCCCTTTTTGCTTTTTAATTTCACAGTACAAACGATATAGCTTTGTTTCCCAGTACTGTAGCATGTACAGTAGGTACTGAGTTTTTCCAAAAATACATATGGTATAATTTATCTCTTTCCCCCTAAAATACTCAATTGTTACTCCCTTGTCTCCATTAGTGTTGTTTTTCCACATTTAAGAACCAGTAGGAAAGAATATTTTATTTGTGCTTGAATCATGCAACAAAATTACACTGTAAATCACAATCTACATAATAACGGTCCTTAAAAACAGGCGTTATTAGGAAGTATGAAGCATTTACCTAAAGCAATACTTGACTGTTTGGTTTATGTGAAAAAAAAAATCATATTTGGAGATACATGGGTTTTACTGGGTAGTAACAGTGCTTTTTGTTAAAAGTATCTGTTATTCTGTTGGCCCTACCATATGCCAAGAGATAACAACCTCACCAGCTAATCATATTCAGCTTGTATCATGTGGACTGGTAGGCTTTCAAAAAACACAAGTCACCAACATCAAACAAGTCCCTGTCCCTCCCTGCAGACCTCTGTAAGGACACTGACGAAACACTGGACTTCTACATTAATGAGCCAGTTAAAATGTGGATTTTTGCCATCTTATTAACTTCACCAATCAATGATGCAATTGTTGTTATAGAAGCACCATCTGTTTCCCAGCCCGAAGGATTATCGGCAAAGAAAAGGAAACAGCGTGAGCAGTATCTCACTCTGTCAGACGGAAATGCCAGGGGCCAGAGTCTGAGATTTTAGGCTTCTCTTTGCTTTGTTTCTTCTCCTTGTGTACTCAAGGGACACTTGTGCTGAAGAGGGGGGAGTTTTCTTTTGCACACAGTCAGAATACAAACTGAGTTTGTGCCAGAATGCAAGGGCAACTGACAGCTGAGGGGTCGAGTGAGCTCGCAAAGATTTGCCAGTTTTAAAATGACTGCAGTGTCCAGAATATCAGCATGCTCTGTCACGGCTCACGCTCTGCCAATATATCAGTTTAAAAAAGGTCAGAATTCCTTTTAAAAACCAAACAAGGTCTAGTTAATGTGGTCTGCCAGTTCTTCTCTGATCTGTCTATGTCCGGCTTCATCTGTCAAAACCTACAGTATGACATTAATCTGACTTTTACATGGCAGTGTTTTTAGTGTTGTATGATGGTCTTCCAAATTAAGAGTACACACTGACCATTAGACATTTTCTTTCTTATTTCTTTTATGTTTTACATTCAGAATGCAAAGAAAACTGAAGGCCCCCCACACACAAATCTACAAAAGTCTCAGCTGTGGAACAGCCACTAACAGCAGTCCCACTAAAGTCAATTCTGAGAAAATGAGAAAATTAACAGTTGGAGTATTCCAGCCCGCAGCTCTGGGCATTTTAATTTCCTGCACAGCTTCCCAGTCACTCAAACAAAATCCTTACAGAGATAACAGGGTACCAGGGCCCTAAAATGATACGTGGTCTCAGCTGTCTTTTCTCTTCCTATTAGCCTGCAGCACTTTGCAGAAGAATGACTGTGATGAAGAAGAAACAGCTGAGTGTGTCGGCCCAGGCTCCACCTCCGCCTTTATTATTTTCTTGTGTCATCTCTTAAAATAACTGGTCAGAGCCAATTACATTAGAGCTCTGTTTGGTGCAGTGGCTTCGCGAAAGCCACCGCACCAATGCTGTCTGGATCGCTGAGCTATGTATGTGTGCTGCACTGTAACGTGGACACAGTGTGTGATTAATTATTAGTTACCACTTAGTTAATGGTGAATTACATGAATTCATTGGACTGCAGTATGAAAATAATCCTGCAGAGAGCAAATGTATGCTTCAAGGACTCAAAAACCCCTTTAATTAATTACACCGCCTCATGTTTAGTCATTTCATTTTACACTGTAATGTTTTGAATTAATGTGCCTTTCCCGCCTTTTCTCTGCCTCCTGTCAGATACCTGAAGCCTGACATAGAGAAGAAATCCAAGCACAAAACAGCAGTGATGAAAAAAACCCTCAACCCAGAGTTCAATGAGGTAAGACCACAGCTGCTTCCCTCAAGCTGTCACAGCGGGTCCAGCAGCCACCGCGGCTCCACCTCCGCTTTGCTCTCACAGAGGGACCATGTTAATGATCTCATAGTAACTCTCTTCACTTTTAAAGTTATTGTTTCATTGAAATTTACCCTGATCTGCCTTTTACTGCAGCTGCTCTGTCTGTGCCCAGTCTGTTTCATCTTGTTCTTTTAACCACCTGTCATCCCCTCAGTGGGAACGTCTCCAATGTTTTTCCAGCATAATAAATAACCAGAATAGTGTTAAAGCATTGTCAGATAGACACCATGCTCTCCATGCACTAAATTAGAATGCTTTCTCCTGAAAAGCACATGCTGCTGTTGAAAAACGCTCATATCAGATATGTTCTTGTTCATAATTCTTTTCATTCCCTGTCCGACGTAAGCCCAACGTGAGCTCCTTGGGAAGTGATCGACTTCCACTCAAAGCACACGACCCAGGCCTCACAGTTGCCTCTGCCCAGTTTTACTCATTATGTTCTTGCCTTTGGTTTCCTGTATCATTTAAAAGCTGTGGTCAGAAAATGTCCATTGAATCTGGAATATATCAGTTCTTTTCTCGTCAGTGTCCACCAGCCTTCAGAACCCTATATTGGGATGGACTTGACATTGCTAGTATATTCTGCAGACAGAACTTTGTTTTAAAGCTGTATTGTTTGGACTTCCAGATTTTGCTGAGCTGGTAAAATATATGCTAGACTTTCCCCAGTTTTGCCTTGATGTCCCTCTGGAGTCCATTGTCCTCCTAATTAAACTGGGCCAATACAGTGTGACACAGGCTGTAAAATGTAACTTTTGTCGTTGCTGTTCATTCCCACCTAACAAACCAGGTTTTTAATGCTGGATTTCACATATGTGTATTCCGGTCTAAATCTGGATCTCTGAATGTGTGTGATCACTGCAGGAGTTTTTCTATGAGATCTCCTTATTGGAGCTGGCCAACAAGGTGCTGGAGGTGACGGTGTGGGACTATGACCTTGGACGTTCCAATGACTTCATAGGTGAGAGACCGATCACTCACCCTGCCAGAGAAAAGAAATCTGGGAAATGCTCTCTGTAGAGGAAACTTAGTGGTGACCGAACACTTTTCTCAGTCTGCTTTATAGATGATTAGAGAGCATCTGAGTAAATAATAAAGTGAACATTTTTGACAGGATCATCCACTGATTCAGCTGTGAGAAATGCTGCAACAGTAAATAATGACTCTAACACATGCTGCTGTTTGTCATGGCTAGTGCTGCATATTTATCACTCTGACCATCTGTATTTCTCCAATATTTTGAAAGCTACTCTGTTTCTGTGGAGAATTACATGAAAACCACATCTTCATTAAACCCGTGTCCTCGGCACTGTGTTTAATTAACAGCTGTGTTTGCCCTGAAGCTGCAGTATTAGCCTAATGTACCAAAACCAGACATTTACCACCACCATAGAAAACATTTTCTGAAGCAATCAGACCGCTCAACAGTTTAAAGGGTAGGTTCACATTTTTCAAGCCTGTTTTAAAACAGTAATCAGGTGCCGACAATAATGTAAATCACCAAATAGATGTAGTATGTTACCAGCTACTTTTATATTTAGTTACAGTTTTGAGGTTGAGGGGTGAATCTAGAAAATTTTAAATGGGGTGGCCAGGCTGGGAAACTCACACACTCAGATTATAATGCATCTGAAAAATGTTACTTGTATTTAAGGCAACAATTTGGCATTATTTTTCATTGTCATTCATTAATACTGATAAGCATTATACCCTGACTCTGGCATGGGTGGTACCATGGGGACGCTGGCCACCTCGGTACCACCAGCTGTGGCCACCATCTTGGCTCTGCCCATCTGGAGGTCTTTGACTATTTAATCAACCTTATTCTTTTCAGTTAATTTTTTGTCAGCTACACTAAAAAAATTCAAAGAAACATGAACACATTTGGTTTTTGATGTTAAGACCAAATACAAGAGTTTGAGCCATTTCCCAGATAGTTTCCACCTGAATGATTTTAGTGTAAAAATGTCAATAAAATGATAAGTTGTGCAGTTAAGAAATGGAAAAATCGGTCCATAGCTGAGTGGCCCATAGCTGAGTGGGTATGGCACTGCACACCATATACCACTTTGGGGTTTGAGGCGTCAGCGGTTTGACTGCTGACAGCTCTATCACAAGTCTCTCTCCTTCTGTCTGCCTCTCTGCAACCAAATGATTAATAAAGGCTAAAAATGCCTGGAAAAATACTTTAATAAACAAAGAAAAGTCTCACAACGGAGTCAACACCATTCAAAACTGCGTAGGCTTCTGATGGACCCTTCTGTATCATGCCAAGCTCAAAACATTCCACAAACCATTCAGATCCTGTTTCAGAGTCAGTGGCGGTTCTACATTGAATTACTCCCCAGGCGAGACCCCCCCTCTGAGCGTCACCCCAAACAGGAAAAAAACACAAAATTTTGCATGAATGAATGTTTTACTGTAACAATACTGTATATGTCTAAGACAATGGATTAGCATTTGTTGGATATGTGTAAAATTATGTGTGTTGACATATTGACTGTTGTTACATGTTTGAAAGAATAAATCAAATCAAACTATTAAGAATAATATACAAATAAAATATAGAATAAATATTCTAAATAGCACAAATCCTTCATCACACAAATCACACTAAAGAAAATCTTATTATTACACTGCACTAAAAACAGAAAACACAAACTAAAACTAAAATCTGACCTTTCTGGCCTTCCCTGATGCAAAATCATCAATAATGTCATCATACGAAATCTGCTCCCCTATTGAGTCATTGATACTGATAGCAAGGCAAGTGAGCCGGTCCTGAAACATGGTTGACCTCAAGTATGACTTGACCATAATCAGTTTTGAAAAGCTCCTCTCTGCTTGAGCCACAGTGACTGGCAGAGTAAGTGCAATCCTGAGAGCAGTCCAAAAGTTAGGGTAGATCTCTGATAGATCCTTATCTTGCAGAAAAGTGATGAGCTCAAGGAGGCTCATGCTTTTTGATGGCAGGTGAGGGAAGTTCTTGACTTAGGTTCTCGATTTCCTGAATTCTCCTCCTGCGCCCGCGCCCCCTCCCCTCCCCTTTCCACCCTCACACAGCTTCTGTGCATGGCACCTTCTCATCAAGCAGGGGCACCACATATGATAGATAATAGAAAACCGCTTAGGGGCACAGATTATTTTCTTTCCAAGTGCTTGTGCCGCCCCCCATGTGTCATGAAAAAATGCCGCCCCGGGCGGCTGCCCGGTTCGCCCATGTCAAAAACCGCCACTGTTCAGAGTTACTGGCTTAATGCTAAAATAATGCTGGTAAGATTACTTTTTGTGAACCTCAGAAGCTGTGTCTCTTTTATATAATGGAGAGCCCGACAGCAGCCTGGATCTAGATCTCTGAAACAACACTCACATCTGATAAGTTAAGTGATTCAAATAGATGAATGAAGTGAAACAAAAGGACAGTTTCACCTTTTTGGCAATTTATATTGTGGAGGTTTAGTCAGAGTTTTTGTTTTTCACAGTTCCTCTTAGAAAAATTGTTGTTAATGAACAGGGCAAGGGTGAAATGGCACAGAACTAATATTATTAACTACTTCTCATTGTTTCCTGCTGGTGTTTAGGTGGTATCTGTCTGAGCAGTCACTCCCAGGGTGATGCCCTCCGTCACTGGATGGAGTGCCTGAAGAACAAGGGCCAGAAGGTGGAGCGGTGGCACATCCTGACCAATGAGCTGCCGCGAACCCTCTGTCACGACTAACCCCTGTGCAACATCCTCCACACATGTGCACGGTCGCTGTCAGGGATGACATGCTTCACAGAAGGTTTTTGGTTTCTTTATGGGACGGACCCGAGCAACTTCACCACAGGAATCGACATCATTGATGGGAAAGGTGTATTATAATAAGAGCCGCCATGAAAGCTGGAGAGCGGAGTGAAGCTGAAGCAGTGTAGTGGTGTGCCTTCATTACTGAGCAGTGAGCCACACTGAATAAGCAGCTTGCTGCCTCCATCAACACTGTCACTCAGCACCAGACTACATACATACGTAACAAGTTTAGACTGATACACTTGTCTTAGGAAGGGTGGGACTCGCAGTCATGAAGCAACCGTAGGCTTGTGCATGCATTCATTCTACAACAACTGACAGATTTCTTGTTAGTCACATGTCCTGTGCTCTATTTCAAAGAAAGAAATTCATAATTTATATCTCTGGTGTCACAGCCGTGCCCCTTGGTCTGTGCATATTCCAGTCAGAATTGCAATTTCTCTCCACAGGCTGAAAATTTGTAGCCTACCCTCAGTTTGTTCTTCTCATGTAGTATCATTAAATTTGAGTCACAGAGGTGAAGAAGTCTCTGACAAACACAGAAGGTGGTTTAGTAACACGTACTGACAGTATTTCCAGAATGTCTTCTGACCATCTGGATGAAAAAAATGAACAATAGAATCAATAGAAATGAATGTGAACCAAGATGAAAACACTTTATTATCTCTCATATTTGTTCATATTGATGTTACTTTTTATTTTTTATATTTCCATACAAAAGAGTATGTTAGTATTTCTCATTTGCTATATATGAAAAGAGCAAGTAAATATTTTAAATCTGGCTACCGGGATGGGAGATGGCCACAACAGACTAAACAGTGCTGCATCGTGTTAAAACTGTCTGGGTTTGTCAAAGGGTTTAATATTTATCCATCAAGATGTCCAGTGCATAGTTCTGTGACTTGAACATGATGAAAAAAAAATAAAGAAAGACAAATTAAGGCTCTATACAGATGGGTGGCAAGGGAAAGAAATCATTTTAGTGAAGTGTCTCCAGAGCTGCTCCAGTGGTCCTCTGCTGTGTTTCATACTGATTAGGCCATTCAGTGACCTAGATTTGTAACCATTAGCCAGTTCAGTGATAAAAAATTAACCAGCAATTCTCCTGGAGCAAAAATCACCTATATTTTCTGGTTCTACCCTTTGCTTTTCTTTATCATACAGCAATCAGCCATAACATTATGGCCACTGAAGTGAATAACACCCTCATTACAATGGTGTCTGTCAGTGTGTGGGGAAGATTAGGCAACAACTGAACATGCAGTCCTCAAAGCTGATGTGTTAGAAACAGGAAAAATGTGTCAAAGGGCCAAACTGCGATGGCTGATGACTGGGACAGGGCATCTCCCAAACTGTAAGTCTTGTTGGGTGTTCTTAGTCTGCAGTGGTTAGTACCTACCAAATATGATTTAAAGAAAGGACAAACAATGAATCATTGACAGGGTCATGGACACCAAAGGCTCACTGACGATGAGGTTGACCTACTGTAGATTAAAATTTTAAATTTCATTCATCCTTCTTAAAAGACAAATTTGTTTTCATCTTTGTTAAAATGGTTAAAAAAAAAGAGAAATACTGTACACTGGACTTTATGAAGAGAAACATTCAGTGACTATAGTGGGGATATCACACCTAGAAGGGGGAGACCGGTGTATTTATTTGAAAAAAAAAAGATTCCTAAATTGTCCTCACAACCACAGTTTTCATTCGTTTTACATAGGATTTTCACTGAGTTGTGCTCTTCCTGACAGTAGAACTATGAAAAGCATCAGACGATGCACAGTGAGCTGCAGAGTGACATGAGTGCCAACCAACTGCTTCACTGACTCCTGTGTGCGCAGTGTTAGACAGGTGGTCATAATGTTATGGCTGATGTCTGTAATGACAATAAACTGAATATCTTTGGATTTATTGGTTGGAAAAAGCAAGGCATTCGATTACACTGCCACTGACTCTGGAAAGTCAAAATGCATAATATAGGAAATATAATATATAATTCAGAATATGATCTGAACATGTGCTTTGTGTTGAATCTTGACTTTTTGTTGAATCAAAAACAAGAAAACCTCTACCACAGAAAAAGTGAACTGCTAATGTCAAACACACTTTGCTAAAGCCTTTATCACATCTGGAAATGGTGCAGCAAAGAAAGGCAGAGGAGCTACAAAACAAACCACAGACCTGATATATTGCCTTATCAAGGTTTAACAGCAGCAAACAATAAGCATGAAGTGTTTTTTTGTGTCAGCCTGATGAATGTTTCACTCTGGTGTTTGATCTACACCAGCTCCGTTCCACTCTTTATGTACTCTATGCTTGGCTTCCGTTACACGTCAGATACTGTCAGGGTCATCCGGCTCTGATTGGGTGGATGTTCCTTCATGGATTATAGCTGCAAAAAAGCAGATTGAAAAAAAAAAAGCTCCAGAAAAGTGTTATAATTAATTGCAATTGTTTAATCTTGTTTTTTGTTTGTTAAAAATGGTGTTAAAGGTGTAAAAGTTTCACCTGTTTGAATAGGTGGTGGGTTAGCTGGTGTTCAAAGGTGCTAATGGTGAGAGAATTTCACCAATGTGTGTTTCAGTAGAGAGGTCTAATGTCCACTGATGTAAATACCTGCTGTTTCACAGGCTGCTCCCTAATGACAAGTATAATCTCATTTCACAAGAAATCTCAGCAATCAGCACATTTTTGCACACGGGCAAAAATCTAACCTGGTTAATCTGGCAGTGCCTTGGAAATACGGCTGGTTTATACTGAAGGTAGTTAGCCAGTTAGCTGGACATGCTAACAGCCAGAGTTTATGTTAGAGCTGATACACCCAGATCTTAAAGCGTCCATTAAAGCTCGCTTTGTTTTTGATTTTGTTTTAGTTTTTTTTTTTTTATACTTCATCTATGCTCTGTAGATGCCAAGCCCTTCTTCCTACAGCCAAATGCACAACATGGAGAAACTCCAACCACTGGATGAGGACTAAGTTATGACCGGACGCCACTGGGCAGGGGATTAGCAGACAGACAGTTGCGAGCCATAAAAATGACATTTATAGAAATATGGCCCTTCGGCAGTTTCCATTTAAATCAGCTCATATTGGTCAAAGCCTAACATAATCTCGATTTTTTTTCCATTTCAATTCTGTGAAAACTGCCACACTTCATAACACACAGATAACATTTCTATTGCACTCCTCAGTGAGACTGTGAAAAAACCAACGGCAGCCGCTCCATTTTTACCATGACTGACGATGTTGATGATATTATATCACTAAAAGTGGTTCTTCCTTGTTGTTGCATGATGCAATATGATGATATACTTCTTTCTGTCTCTATACTCCCCCTGCCTGTTTTCTAATTCAAAGTGTTGAAGTGAGACATGATGAAACATACAGGTACGGTTCATGTTTAAAAATTCTTCTATTTACAGTGATGTTCATCTTTCATGCACGACTGAATGTACGATTGTGGCTTTCTATACAGCATTGTTGAACTGTTGTTTACACTGAACTTGTGCTTTACAGTTGTTCTTATATTTCTATCAGGTGTTTTATGTACAATAAATAAATTTGGAATGCAATACAGACAGAAAAATGAGCTTGGGTTTGTTCTCATGCTGTAAGTGGAGCGGGTTAATACTGCCCCCTACTGACAGAAAACAAAAGCACATCAACACCTTCACAAGACACCAGCATCTCTACAAATGTTTATCAGCCAGTGGTGGAAGAAGCACTCGGATCCTTTACTTAAGTAAAATCGCAATACAACGGTGTAAAATGCTTTGTTACATGTTAAAGTCCTGCATTCAAAATGTTACTTAAGTAAATGTACAAATGTATTAGCATCAACACATACTAAAAGTACTCATTATACAGAAAGGCACATTTCACATTCCTGTATATATTGTTTTACAAGTACTGATTACTGATGCATTATTGTGTACATTGCATTAAATGTTACAGCTTGTAAAGGGGGAGCTAGCTTTAACTATCTTGTATGCATTTAATTTGAATTACTGCTGGGCAGCTTGTGAATTTTCCACCATAGGTCAATGGAGTCTTATAGGTATAATGTATTTTTATATTAATTTGGTTCTGAAAAGTAACTAATAGCTAAAGTTATAAAATAAATGACGTGGAGTAAAAGGTATAATATTTGCTTCTAAAATTTTGTAAAGTCAAAGTGTGAAGTAACAGAAAAAGAAACTACTCAAGTAAAGTACAGATACCATGTACTTAGTTACTTTCTACCACTCCTATCAGCCATTAGAAAACAAGAAGCCACATCTCAACTGAAAAGTAGCTGAATGAGTCTTTTAAAATCCTACATGGACTCCTAAGTCACAATATGTGTAGCCTGGCTTAACACTATAACATATTAATACATTTTGCATCAAATAGCAGTTCTACCAAGGATACATTTCCCCTCTAAACTTCTCACATTTATACTAAATCACTTCAAATATTCAATAACAGAAGACTGAAAGCAAACAGAAAATAGATTAGTTTTTCTTTCCTTTATGTATTTATTTATTTATTTAATTTGTAAAGAATAAATGAAAATTCTTTTTTGTGTAATTTTTATATTATGGTTGCTCAATTTTATATTTGTGGTGATGCAGTGACTAGCACTGTGGCCTCACGGCATGCATGTTCTGGGTTCGAGCCTCTGTGTGGAGTTTGCACGTTCTCCATGTGCCTGCGTGGGTTCTCTCCGAGTACTCCGGCTTCCTCCCACAGTCCTTTGCCCCCAGCAAAGAATAAATAAGGAGCGCAGTCAAAGATAGCTAAAGAAAGCACTGTGCGCCTGATTTTTACATTAAATACACAATTTAATTCTTAATAATCTATGGTTCATAGAAGTAGTGGTTTATTTTTTTTTAAGTTTAATGTATTTCAAATGTGCCACCCCTGCCTGAGGCTGTGCCCCAGCCTGGCCACCCTGTCAGAAATCTTCTAGATCTGCCCCTGGATGTCTGTACAACTCTACAACCATGAAACAATTCAATCAGTTGTTTCACTGAACATTTATTTTGTCTAAAAAAAAAGAAAAACAAGATGTTTAACATAAATACAAAACAAACAGAAAAAAGGCTCTGCAGAGATGATACACATTCGTAACATACTTCCTGCTTCTGTTCATCTACATAGAAGCTTCACAGCTGAGATATTTGGTCTTGTTTGCGGTGAATCATGACCGACTTTAATTTCTGCAGTATGAAGCTGTTTCCCATCATGCTTTGCAATCACCATCTCCAAAATATTTCCAGGAGTGAGCTCAGATATATTTCAATGCTGATAAATAAAATAAAATAAATAATATATTCTATATTTATCACTGCAGCAGTGTCTCTTCTTATGAGTCCAAATCCCACATGTCAGCAGCTCAGCTCCCAACAGTCTCCCTCTTACATAATTAATCTCTAACACTCTTGCTGTTGATGTTGGAAGCCAGCCCACAGAAACAGAGCAGAGGGGCAACACAACAACCTGAGATGACTTACAATGTCTCTGTTTATCTCTCTCCACTCAGTGGGAGGTCACGAACCAGATGGCCTACAAACACGTACACCTGTCA